TCAGTAAAGGAGTCTGAGATTAAAGAAAAACAAAATCTACTCTTCAACTTGCGACGGACCTTCTTTCCACACACGGCCCGTCCCTTAATACCAATATCTATTACCGAAGCGCCGTGGTCCGAGTCTCTCTCCTATTACGCACAGTTTCCTGTAGTATAATACATCCCGGATTCACCGCCTACCGCCGTCATCTACCGTTCCGACTCCCGACTCCGACCCCGACTACGCGATCGTCGTCGTCTCCTCATCCCTTCCGCCCCCGTAGCCTCCGGCAGGCACTCCACCAGCCTGCCGCAGCCATGTCGTATTCATGGTTCGGGGCCCCTACCCCTTTCAATGGCACGACGCCCAACGGCGGTGATTCCGGTGAGTCCTTTCGGAAGCTCGACGACATCCACCCAATGCCTCCGACACTCACTGACAAGATCATCGCCAACAGCCTCCGAAAACCTCAACCAATGGTACCAATCAGGCGACCAGGCTTTTATTTTAGTTGCATCATGCATGGTCCTCATCATGATTCCCGGCATCGCCTTCCTCTACTCCGGCCTTGCCCGTAGAAAGTCAGCTCTATCACTCATTTGGGTGTGCATGATGTCTTCCAGTGTTGTCATGTTTCAATGGTACTTCTGGGGCTACTCATTGGCGCTCAGCAGCACAGCGACCAACGGCTTTATTGGCAACCTTCGACACTTTGGTCTCATGAACACACTCGGTGCACCTTCTCCCGGCTCTCAACTCATTCCTGAGCTACTCTATGCTTTCTACCAGGTAAGATGACTATCGATTTTTATCAGACCCTTCAGCCAAGGGCCTGGTCTTCCCGATTCAGGGGTATGTTTATCTAACCCCGACGTGACAGATGCAATTCGTCGGCGTCACCGCAGCCCTTGTTGTTGGGGCTACCGCTGAACGCGGTCGCGTTGTCCCAGCAATGGTCTTCATCTTTATCTGGGCAACACTGGTCTACTGCCCTCTCTGTTGCTGGGCTTGGAACGTCAACGGTTGGGCCTTCAAGTACGGAGTGATGGATTATGCTGGTGGTGGTCCCGTCGAAATTGGATCCGGTGTCTCGGCTCTGGCTTATTCTTGGGTTCTCGGCCGACGTAACGAGAAGATGATGCTCAACTTTCGTCCACACAACATCTCCCTGATCACCATTGGTACGGTTTTTCTCTGGTTCGGCTGGCTCGGCTTCAACGGCGGATCTGCTTTTGGCGCCAACCTTCGTGCCGCCATGGCGTGCTGGAACTCGTGTCTCACAGCCATGTTTGCGGCCATGACCTGGACCCTTCTCGATTACCGCCTGGCCAAGAAGTGGTCGCTCGTCGGCTGGTGTTCCGGTACCATCTCGGGTCTCGTCGCCGCTACTCCTGCTTCCGGTTATATCCCTCCTTGGGCCAGCATCATTCTCGGAGTCGTTACTGGAGTTGTTTGCAACTTCGGCACTAAGATCAAGTTCATGATCGGCATCGACGACGCTCTCGATATATTCGCTGAACACGCTCTTGGGGGCGTTGTGGGTCTGATCTTCAACGGTTTCTTTGCTGCCGATTACATCATTGGCTTGGATGGCGTCAACCAGGAAATCCCCGGCGGCTTCCTCAACCACAACTATAAGCAGTTGTACATTCAGATCGCCTATGTTTGCGCCACAATGGGATATTCTTTCGTCATGTCTGCTATCCTCGCCAAGGGCGTCGACATGATCCCAGGTCTACACCTCCGCGCTTCCGAAGAAGCCGAGCTCCTCGGCATGGATGATGACCAGCATGGCGAGTTTGCTTACGACTACGTTGAGGTACGTTTAACTCGGATCGTTTTTTATTCACCTCCATGGGCTAACAATGTTTTCAACAGGTTCGCCGCGATTACCTGGCATGGACACCAGCAGAGAAAGAGCAGAGGCAAGACGGCGACATCATCGTCCCTCAGCACGGCATCGAAGGGCATCAGGAGCTGTTGAACAGCTCTCGCCACGGACCCACCATGTCCGAACTCCCACACCATGAAGAGGAGGACCCGCGAGAGAAGGCGGGCTCGACCTCGGAATAATCTTACAAAAGATGTCGACGTCGAATTATGCGACCACGCAACGAAATTATCTTCACAAGCGACTTTTGGGTTTCTGTTTTTGTTTTTGGGAATGCATAGAACTCTGAGTTTACGGGGCCTTGGATGAGAGAATGTGGAAAACTGAGGAAATCAAGCGCGGGAGGGAAAGGGTTGCCTGCGCGCGCGCCTGGGTAGATTTGGGCTTCCAACAATACCTCCTTCTTAGGCGTTTTCACTCCTATGTTTGTTTATTTCAACGGATGTTACCGTCACACAGTGTTTGATGGACATCGAGTTTATCCCCCGGATGATGAAACCCGGGCTGGCATGTTAATTTTTTGTATAATACCCCATTTAACTGGCGATGTGAAAGCAGGCATGTTTCTGCCATATTCAGCGTTCAAAGTCCTTGGTCTTCCGACCTTTGTTCTTGGTCTTCGGATCTGCTCCGTTGTGCTTGTTTGCATTTCCCGTTGGTTGCCAGCCTAGATTGGGTGATAGTTTTGTACCACCTCTGTACACACCATGTTCGTTATCTAGTTTTCGATTTCCATATTTTATTTTTAATAGCCTCACTTGTTGATGCCCGCAATTTCCGAGCCACCAGTAACGAACCTATGAGCCCAACTCTCTTTTTCTGTTACTTGCAGTTTTGCAGCCCAACGAGTCATGTGCTGATCCAAATCAGAGAACTAACAATAAAAAAAAAATAATAAAAAAATGGCGGTCAACAATCCGAGCCTGGTCAGATCGTAAACTGCCAGGTTTCGTCCTTTCCCAACTCCCGGGTCTAGGGATTCAATTTTTCCAGTATGTGGGAGTGTTGTACTGGTCACTTACTAGAGTGTTCGCATTTTCGCGCACTTGAGCAAACCATATCATGTGGTCCGAGGCTGTAACATGGATACATTAAGCAAAAATGGGCGTATTTACAATGTTAGCCAAATGGATCGTAGGTACTTTATGTATACATGGTATTTTGTGATATATTGCTAAATAGTTTATTGAAATCAGTATCTCAATCTCTGTCTCGCAGTGCAGCTTCCAAAAGTTTCTTTGCGAGCTTACTATTCTCTCTGCGAACTGCATCAGGCTTTCGGTCAGACTTTTGTCCCCTCACTGTATGTATAAATCATCAAATTATCGACGAGATTGGAGTGAGACTTGAACACCATTACTCTCTCCTGTTCAAGTTAAATTAAGCCCCAACTTACCTGTACGGCCAAATCTGAACCAAGCAAAACATAACCTTGATGGTAAACGACTCAACAATTATTCACGCAACATGCAGTCTCGTCTATCACAGACCAGAGAGAGGCCCGGAACAAAGTGATGTTGTACGACTCTCACAAGCTTTATCTTTGGTGTTTGGTGTCATCGTCCGAATGCGAGTGCGAAGTGCGAGGTAAGTCCAAGTATGAAAGTATAACTTGTTCTCGCACTTCGTCCATGTCCAGATCAATATGTTCAGATCACGACATGACATTTTGTGTCATCATCTCAGTGTCAAACTCAGCTCAGTTTAAAAATCCTCCCCCCCCCCCCCCCCCTCCTCTCCATCTCTCCGGAATTATAGTATGTTTCAAGTTCGACACTAGCATATCACTCAATTTAGCACTGTCATGCCATTGTGTTGATGATGTGTTGGTGTGATTTGAAGGTCTTTCTCGTCAAGGCCGTCCGTCTGGACCACCGGCTGGGGGCATATCCCAATTTGATAAGATACCTCAGATAGGATAAGTAGCCTCTTTGTCACATCCCAAGTTTCGCTTTCGAAATCCATCCACGTAATACATGTACATAGGTACATACCTACACTACTTTAACTCGCTCGGTTAACTCGGCTGATGGGTGAACCATGGCTCCGCGATCGATCTTCCAATAGAATCACAAAGGTCACGCTTAGTCATTCACCACCTCGGCGACTTACACTACAAGTACACTACACGCCCCCCCGGCCACGACATCCCATGCCAGTTGTGAACTTGGGGTTTCCGATTACACTACACTACATAGGAAAGCTCAGTGCCAGGTTCACAGCGAGCCAGGGTGTTTGAGGGTTAGCCGATTGGGCAACGCCGCGCGCGCACAACGTGGTTTGATAAAGTTGGAATAAGTTGGGATAAGTTGGTCTTTTAGCAGGTTGTTGTCCGTCTTGTTGTCCGTCTTGGTATACACCTGCTGGGATGTAACTTGTTAGTAGCTCGGTACGGTGAGCTCGACAAGAAACATGGGACGGGTTGACGACGAACTGGCCATTTCTTGAGCCAAGATTTAAGATTCCTTGCCATCCCGAAAAAAACGACGCTAACAAGTTATATCCCAGCAGAGCCATGAGTTTTTTGGAGTTTTTTTTTTCTTGGCGGGTATTGGCAAACTGAACGAAGTTGAGGTCTCGGACACTCCCAAGTCTGTTTCAAGGTTACAGCGTGGGGGGAGGGGTGTGTGTTTGGTTGCGGCTGCGGTTACGATGTGGGACAAGGCTTTAGGAACAGCGAGCTGGGAAATGCTTGGCGGCTCGGTTGGACAAAGGAAGAATGGCGTGCCAGGTTATGTCTAAATATCCGAGGATGGAAAATCAAGGTGGGGTGCTTTTCCGGGTGCTTCTTCCATACGTTGCGGGGAGCCCGGCCGTCCGGCCTGTCGGGGGGTTAATGGCTAATAGTACTCGTCTGGGCTAGAAACGCCCTCCAGACCCAATGAGTAGCACTTTGAGACACACACCAACAGAACAATGTTGCAGTGTCAGTGTTGCTCCAGTCGGAGGTTTGTGCCGAGGAAAGAAGATGATGACCGCAGGTTCGGGATCGGACAGACGGGTGGTACGGCCGAAACGGAATCTGGACGGCGCCGGTAAAGTTAATCCCGCCGGACCGGGATTGGTGAGCCCCGGCATATCCAGTTGCACTATTGTTCCCTCAAAGAATTGTCCTTTTCACATCTATTTTATGCTCGACGTACCGATTCTGACAGTGAAAAAGTTAAGGCCCGGTGGCGTCAGCGTCTCGCATCAATCACAAAACGAAAATCTAGGTGCCGATAGGTATCCGAACTTGTTGGGCGAAACGCAGATTCAATCACCTCATAGTCACTTCTCCATTTGTACACGATACTGAAGAGCAAGTGGCATTGATTCTCTTCTTCCGCATCATGATTGGCAACAGGTAATTCCGGAACTTGGTGACCAAGTCGGTGTTATCCTCAGTGTCAGGGCAGAGGTAGGATTATACGGACCTATATATGACCTCATGGGTGACCCAGACACTCGCCATTTCGAAAAGGGGGAAAAGCAGATATGCAAATGATCAGAGGTATCTTAGATAAAATTACACGTTTGTCCCACAGCATGACCAGTAATATGTCGGTTGGTATTCATGCGAACTGACAGACCTTTAGTTCTGTGCATCCACAAACTCGTCATGCGAATCGTCCGTGTCGACCTTCTTGATAGGAGGCAAATCTTTAGCCATGTCTTCGTGGAAATCGATCAGAGGTCCCTCTTTAGCGACGGCACCCGTAGCGACAAGCAGCTTTTGAATCTCCGTGGTGCTTTCATGGGAAGGTTCCAACGGCGGATGCACCTTTGGTGCCGTATCTACCGGCTCTGACCCCGCAGCAGCTTCCTTGTGATCCAGCTTTTCGTGGTCTATCGTTGGGACGGGAGGATGGGCTTCTTTACTGGGACTCGCTACGGGAGTTCGAGGGGGGATGGTGTTCTTCTCAACGAACCGCTGACCTTTCAAAATGGGATAAATCGCCATGATCTGCTCAGCCTGCTTCTCTGGAGTATCCCCATCTCTGTGTTTTGTTAGCCTTCGCCAAAAGCAATTTCATGATATCGCTCACTGACATTGTTGCATTGATGATCCACTCGAGGTCCTCTTCGCCCTCTTCAGAGCCGCCAGGGCCTCCCCTGACCATCCGGAAAAGGCGCGGATGCCATTCTACGCCGTCATTGATTCGCTTGGCGGCCTCCTCGCGCTGTTGGTCTTCGATTTTGGTTTTCTCGATAGTGGCCAGTTCGTGGTTTCGTTCCTTGACCGCCTTGGCTGTCGCAGCCCAAATCTTTTGTGATTCCCGTTCTTCTTGCTCTTCAATCGGGCGTGCAATCGGAGGGCTAGATTTTGCGTGCAAAGCGTTGAAGAACATCTCTTTGTGCCCAGTCTGTTTCTTCTGTTAGCTCGCTGCCGGCATGGGCTCCGTATGTATAACCTACCTTTACATCTCGCAAGTACATCTCTTCGCTCCATAGACCCGACAGCTCGTAGAGGATTTCGCCGGTACTTTCCCTCCGAATAGTTCCACCGATGGCGTTGTAGGTACCGCTGACCCAGCCCTTTGTCTTGAACTCGACATCGGCCACAAGGTCGAGTTCGGGGCATCGCACATAACTGTGGTCTCCCAATTCATATTTCATCTTGCCAAACAATATTCCTCTTGCGTACATGTTGGGCTGAGTGAGAATGCTGAAGCGCACGCGATGAGTAAGTGAATCGGAACACTCCTGGGGTGGGTGTACTCACTATCGCTCTCCCCTCTGAGGATCCTTGCCTCGATTCAGAAGACTCAAGATTGCGATACCCTCCATCATACTCGCGGCAGAGTTGCCCAAGAATTTGCTTCGAGGCTTGAGTGTGCCATCAACTCTGATGTTATGGCCAGGAACCATGTAGAAGTAGCTCGACTTGGGAGGATGGTGTGATGTTTGCTCGGAGATGTAGTAGCCTCGCGTCTTGTCGGGGAAGTCCCAGTAGCAGGTAAAAATCTCGCCAAGGACGGGGTTCAGCGGCTTCTTGACACCCCTAGAGGAAATATCAGCAAACATGGCCACAAGCTACGGCGCAAGCTGCCGCTATGCTGGGATCAGATCTCTTACGGAGGGCGGATATGCCAGCCACTTAGGTAGAACTTAACTACCGCCACGAATCTCTGTACCGGGTCATCGATTTCGGGGATGGGTAGGAGCATCTCGGGATGGCACATGAAACTGTAGCAGTCGGTCAACAGGTATATTCCGTCCGCTGCCCATGGGAGCCAAGATTGACCAAACCCTACTTTGTTATCCGTTCCAACATGCTGCGAGGTTCGAGGATGAAGGTTGGCAAGACAACTCTGCTAAGATCGGCGCCGGGTCTGAGCTGCGAGATGATATGCGACAGGACTGGCGACAAGGTCAGCAACAGTTGACGGGATGGCGGTCGCTTGTCAGGTTAGAGGGTCGACGGACCGTTTCCCTGGTCGGGCTCAACAACGAGTGTATCGTCCTCGGCGACATCCTGGGTGGCATCACCAGAAGATTTGCTGCCTGGACGGGAAGACAAGCGCATGTTAGCAACAGACAAGGACGATTCGCGCCCGGGGGCGATGCGTTCAGCGCAGCATCTCAGCAACTCACTAGCAGTAGATGTAGCCCTACGGCGACCAGTTACAAGGCCCATCATCTTGTTGAAGCTCTACTACGGGTTCGGTGCCGTGGCAGAGTGGAGGCGACAAAGAAGAGGCGCGTTTTGCGGCGGCAGAGGTATCACGGGCGGGTAGACTAAGGTATGTTTAGATCGTAGAGGTCGACGCTGGGTCCGTAGGTCGGAAGGGAGATGCGACTGACGTGCAAGTGCAAATGCAAATGCGGGTGCTCTTGTCCAGGAACTTTTTAGGCAGGGTGGTATCGGGTATGTATCAAAACCTTAGGGGTCGGGAATTCCCACTCACGTCCCCTTCTTCCCACGAGTTGCGGCGGGACTGTTGGGACCTGGAGAAATGAGATGCCTGCGTGGATCGATGACGGCCCGGGGCTGACGGATGTGGGATTTGGGAAGCTCCAGGCGACGATGGGGGACACCGGCAGATGGCGGGATTCGTAGGGTTCCCCAAGCGCGAAGCCGGCTTGCTGAACGAGGCGGGGCAGCCTGACATGGAGGGCGGAGGACGATGGAGGGGACCTGAATAAATGACGTGGGTGACCCAACCCCAGCCCAGCCCAGCCCAGATCCTCTCTTCTCCAGGGACTGGCCATTCAGCGAATAGTAGAGGGACTCTAGAGAGATATGCTTCACGACAACCAGATTTGATGGCGGCCCATCTTTCATGATGATGAGGACCAACAATACTTCAGCCTGGCATCATTAACGACCCTCAAAGATCCAAGTCTGATAATACCATGAGCAACAATCGCCTTACCTTCCGCCGGTGTCGCTCTCCGGCAAAGGTATGGTGTAGCTTGTGTGTCTGTCACTAACTGGTCGTACGTGTGTCATATAGGCCACAACGCAATACTACTACTGACGATTCCATGTCCCTACTTCATCTTTACATAGTCACTGTCATGCATACGCGACCCATATTTGGCTGCAAATTGGAGTTCGAGTGATCAAAAAAATCCAATGACCGCGACCGCAATGGCTTCACGATGCCCCCCAGCCTCGTGAGTTTCCTAATTGGTAAATAGGTGATATTGTGGCTTAGACATTCTTGGCGATCCCGTTCCTCATCGTCTTCAATCCATCACCTTGGCAACTGACAGTAGCCAGTATCATTCATCGTTGTTGGGGCTCTCTGAAAGCCGCTGGCAGCGACCTTTGCTGTGGAGTCGCTTTTTCCTCAACAACACAAGGAAAGGCTGCCCGGTTTTGAAGACCCGGTGCATGGGGTCATTCATGCTCAGGCTGAGTCGCGTTGCAGAATCGAGGTAGGTATTTCGGGCATCTGGACGCGTCAATGTGGCTCTGGCTCCTTGAATGCGGATACAAGAGGGTTTGAGCAAAGAGTATCAACGACAGGAGACAACATCCATCCACTTGCCTTGGGTATCTGTACAGAGACGCCGGCGGCCTTCAGTTTTTGTGATATGAATAGACTTTCCAGGTTCATTCGACCCAGGCTAGAAGACCATATGGTGGCCGACACGTGCTACCTCTGAGCGGGTATGGTACCACGCAATGGAAGCACCAGCACAAGAGGCCATATAAGTTGACTACCACCCTTTTGGTCCGGCCCTTAGAAACTCTAGACGGGCTGTCATGCCGACTTGAAGGGGGGGATCACTTGTCTCCGGGCCGGGACCGCAGCCATGGACGACGTTGCACGGATCATGTTGCTGGTTCTACGGCCGAAGAGGCTGGCGATTGGAAAAGATTGCTCCAGCCTTCAAATCCCCTTCCATACCTTATTCAAGAACAACTCCAAGTGGAAGAGGGCACTTGACGGAAATCTGCAACCTCGGCCGGCGCAGATGTGATGGCCGGCTGCTTGGGAACACGAACCTGGGTCTGCCCCTGGAATAGCGAAACTGGCAGTGGCCCTCTAGGGCGGGTTGCTGCTGCCAGCGTGCCAAGCTCAGAAACCGTGACCCTTGAAGCGCAGAGTGGAGACACATTGCTCCTCACGGGCACTGGAGACCTGAGGGAGTCTCGGAGTATCGATCCGCGACCATTCGCGACCCTTCGCGAACCCTGAAACACGAAAGAAAATCGACTATCGAGAATGCTGCACCTCGAGGCCCATTGCCTGTTGAGGAAGGTGATGCGTGACGCCATCAGGGGAGATGGGACGGATCCGTGCCTGAAAATACGAGTTTAGCTAAGGAGCAGCCCGGTCCTGCTAGCACGGCACTATGATAACCAACACCGGTGCAAATGCGAGGTCGCCCGGGCGATATCCATTTCAGGTTCAATTCCTCCATGAACGGCCATTTGTCTGTCCGAAACACCTATCCGCATGTTCGCTCGGTCCAATTCTGTTCGATCCCGTCTCCCGTCCCTTGCGTTAAACTTGAGCTTTCTCTCAACTGTTCAATCCTTACAACAAACGGTTTCCGCGGCCATATCGGACTGGCTGTCTTGTGACACGTTGGCCTACAGAGACAGTGTTAACAGTCCCGTCGTTGGAACCTCTTTACAAGACGAGCTATTGTTACATTACGAGCTTACTTCGTACTTTGCAGCTGGAGGTCAGTCATCCCGGGCCGGGCCCGCCGTCTCCCTCCATTATAATTCAGGCGCAGACCTGTCCACCGAACATCTGCAACCGGCAGCGCTCCAGCCAAGGCACTGCCGCAATCCAGGACTCCAGTTTGTCCTTGCTTGATCCACGAATGTGAGACGATCACAGCTCTCTTGTCGGTCCTCCAGTCTGCTGGCAAGCAGATTGCCCTGCTTGACTCCCGATTCCCCTGACTGATCTGCCCCCGCCTCTCCTGCCTGCTGCGGGCAGCAGCGCCAGGTTGCAGGGAGGTTGCAGCACTTAGCCTGTCCGGCGACCTGTCATCTCAACGACCGCACCGGGCGTTACGACAACATCCTCGGGGCCACCGCAGTGGCTGTCTGCGTACCTACCTACCGTACCTACATAGCTGGAATTCAGTTTTGAACACCACCACCTTTACGGCCACCAACAACAATACCCATCCACCCTTCCAGCATTTACCGTCCTGCCATCTTGCTTACTTTCTACTTCCATTCAGTTACCCGGGTCTCCTCCGAACATCACCACTGCCTATCTACCTACCTTGCTGCACCCTGTCTCGGCAACCCGAACCCTCAGTTGTTCCTTCGCCATATCACGTTGTCGAGGTCCATGCCCGCCGGTTCCTTGGTCGTACTACGGCGTTGGGTGTGCATGACCACAAAGTTCCCATACTCGACCCTGAACGGGCTCGGTCCGCGCCTACTGTCGCTATAACGTCTATACTAAGGAAGCTCGGGGCCCCATGACGCGCATCGAACACACAGCTATACACGACAATCGATTCACACAATGGAGAACGAACCGCCAATTATCTCGGTACAGGAGGATGGCCGGGGTACCAAAAGGGGCCGGATAATGGGGAAGCTCTTCGGCCGGGTGAAGGAAGACCGCGAACGCGACCGGAAGCCTTCTCACGACAACACGGGAGCGTCTGGAGACCTGAATGATTTCTTCCACGGCTCATCAGACAAGTTGCAAGTGGCCCATCCAGGGCCTCCCACGCTTGCAAAGCTCGACACAAAAACTGCCGGCAGTACACGATATCCCAACTCTCTGAATGTGCAGAGTCCCACCGACCCTCGACATGATTTGGCTATCCGGGCACGCTCATACAGCCCACGGATCCGCAAAAACAAAGGCCTGAGCGTAAAGTTTACCGACGCGTACCCCGAAGTTATTGGGCATGGCGGCGACGAGTGCGATGTGCCCACGGTCGAGATCTCGAAAAGGAAGCAAGTCAGGTCACCCATGCCTCCGACCACAACTGCGCCTGCTTGGTCCCTGGATGGGGGTGGAAGACCTACTGGGTCACCGGGTGCAGCACAAAAGAACGATCCATCCTTTACACCAGGACCATTGCGACGTACACAAACTGGGTTTGCGAATATACCCGGTACTGGGGAACAAGAGCTAGCAGAAAACCACAGTCCCCAGCCCAGGCCAAGAGGCAGCCCAGCAACCAATCCAGACGAGAAGCGCCGTTCGTTCATCGAGCTGCATCAAGCTGAGATGCGGGAAGCAGAAGGACAGGCCTTTGCCAATGCAGTCCGCTCGGCAAGCATATCCTCGCAAGCTACTCGAACTTCCGAGCGGCCACCCCTTTCGGCCACTAATTCAACGAGTCGAGGACAATATACCGAGTCTCCAAGAGATGTTAACCTTCCTCAACTGTACCAGCCATCACAATCGGACTCTCTTAGTCAGCCCACAATTCCAACTTCACCCCGGTCCAGGCTCGGGCCTTCTCCCATACCCGCCCAGGCTCCTCGCTCTCCTCAGACATACACTGTTGACTCACCTCGGACTTTGCAACTGCCACGGAATGGGGCTCTAGCGTCAGAGACACAACACTCGCCGCTGCATATGCAACCGCAGCCGAGCCCGCTACCGACATCCGGTCTGACACCTGGTTTGGAACAAAGTCCACCCACCAGCTTCATCAACCAGTTTGGATCATTTAGATCGTCGGGACGGTCCCTGGAGGGGGAGAATTTTTCACCAAATGCAGCGCAGCAACCACCTACCCCAGCATGGAACCATGACCAGAGTGCATTAGACGATGCCCTGAGTACTTTTGCTACCCGGAGTACCCATCTCTTCGAGCTATTTCGTCTACACTCCGAGAGTGTGCGACCCTTGCTGTCATCGACACCCGAACAACTCGTAAGGGCAGCGTTATGGTGGTTCCTCACCGGCCGAATGGCCCTGGAAAATGCTGTTCGCGAACGGCCGGCGGGTCTCGAAGCTGAGCAGAGAAATAGCTTGGCTAAACAACAAGCTCATGCTGACCTTGCCAAAGCGTATTGGTTATCAGAAAAGATGGTTCCGGAGATATCTAACAGCACATCCGCCCTAGTAGATGCGGAGGTAGAAGAGGTGCGAAAGGTTCTTGCGTCCAACCTGCGAAAATTGGCCGGATCGATGCAGAGGAACGGTTTCATGCCACCCGAGGAAGCACTCCTGCCTCAAGCGATAGACAGGTCGATATGGATAGAATATCCTTCCTTGACTCAGGATATCATCTCCCTTCTTTGGGGGTCTTCGAGTTCAGCGCTCGCTTCAACGCAGCAGCACCAGCCTGGGATTGGGATGCTAGACGCACTTCCATTGGGTGACTCCGACAACTTCTTCTCCTTTGGGCGTTTCCGCATCGAGGCATTCTTAATGGAACAAGGGAGAGAATCGCAGAGACTTCACTTTCCATGTTTCTTATCCATATTGAGGCCACAGAAACAAGCGGATATCATGTTCGTCATCGCAAGCCAAAATGATTCTGTTCAGCTTAGAATATCTGGTGATAAAAGCCTGGGTCCCGTGTGGGAGGACGTACGGTGGCGCCCAGAAACACTCACCCTCGATGTAAGATTACCCAGAGGGTTTGCTCTGGTTCTCCAATGCTCGCAGGGTAGCTTCAAAACGCTGCGAAGCATGTACGAGTTCAGCGCAAAGGTCCATGCAAGCCTTTACGCGAAGCCAGACGAGAGGTGCCTATTCAGATCCACTCTTCGTGCTTTTCAGTACGTCGACAATGACCCACAGGCCAGACAGTTTCCGAGGGAAGCGACGCCTGGATGCGAGCTTGCCCTGTTTGAGCGCCTTAAGAAAGAAGGCGCGGCAACGGGGCCTCGAACCTATCATCGCGGATATCGAATTGCGGTTGTTACAGGACCAAAGGTCAAGACACTAAGCGGCGTCAATCAAGTGTACACTCCGCAAACACTCATCCAGCTCGGCTCCTGTCGCAATGAGGCAAACGACCCTGCCCTTTCCCTGAAATTTGAGAATGGCCGACTTAAGGGAAGCATGGTGTTGTCCTTCAAGGATGAGCAAGAAAGGTCGCAAATGCACAGCCTCCTCATTGGGTCAGCACTACAAAAGGATGAAGAGGTCTTTTGTGAGGTGCCGCTGAAGGTCGTCTGGTTCTCGGAAAGATACGGCGATTCGGCACACAACGGTCTCAAGCAGATGGCTGGGTTGAGTTGGCAAAGAGTCAAGGTGATCAATGACGACAATGATGGTGACCGGCCACCATGTGTTCTTGCTGATAAGCTTCGTGCGGTGTACGACTTCCAGGACGGCACATTTACTGACAGGATCAACGTCGCGCCCGGCGAACTGCGTCTAAGACTGGACGTACGTAACCCAAGTTGCATTATGGTGTTCCGCCAGCCCCAGGCAGACGCAACTCTGGCAGTTACGGATCCAAAGATTCCGCGTGAACTATCCGAAGGAATGGCCGAATGCCTGGAAGTCCTGCAACAATCTCCCACCATCAGAACCTACATGTTCCCTAGTGTCGGGGAACTCCATGCCTTTGAATCAGCTATCACCGGCTTCAAAATTCTCTTTGATGGGATTGCTAGCGCATTTGCAATTTCTCGTCGCCGTATGGTGGTTCCGATTCACAAGAAATGGGAGGCAGGGTCAACCCGGATCCAGATCGTGCAGCAAGACGGGGTTACGCAGATGTTGACTTTCTTCGAGAACTTCACCCATGGCCAGTGCATGGGATTCACTCTAAAAGGAACTGACATCTTTGAGGCGTTCAACAGAGGCGGCAAGGCCGGGCTCAAGATTGCCGATGCCAAGTTTCCCTTACCCAAAGTCTTGCCCCAGAATGTCACCGACGCACAGGCGGCTGCGGACACGGCATTCTTGTGTCTAGATCTACCTGAGCTCCCGGGAGAACATGATGACATTACCATATTGTTTGATAGTGAAGCGGGTAAGTTCAGACGCTATCTTTCCCTATCCCCCTCTCAGAAGCACTTTCTTCTACTTATCACAGCGTGCTAACGTGATACACAGAGCGTGACAAGCTCGGCTTGTGTCTCCCGGCACCTGTGAAGGGCTCTAGATTACCAAAGAAATAGGAGACGACGGGAGAGCTGGATAACGTTGGGAGACTGTGCGCGAAAGATCTGGAGGATAAGCTTCAAGCTGTTCTCGATCGGAGTTTGAAGCATGAGATACCCTCTATCATATCTATTTACAGTAACAGCAGTCGTTAGCGTTGAGCATTATGACGGATCCGTAGAACAGAGCACTCGGAGCATGGATTTGGATGATCGGGTTGGGACGTGGATAATCGGGGCCAAAGTTCACTATATTATGCGGTCACTATTTTCAAAGCCCATAATAAGGACTTGGTTGACAAAGTAAGGATCAGAGCAGAGCACATAAACTCATTCACTCTGCAAACATGCCCGTGATGAGGGGGGAAGGTTTTGGAGAACCTTTATTAAACTGTTAATATACATATAACACAACCAGGTATGAGGCTCGTGATGTATAGCCGAGGCCATAACTTCAACATTCCAGTAGTAATCGAGAACGCCCCTACTCCAAGACTAACTTGATGACCTTGGCCCGGCTATGCAAATTGGGACAGACCGAGCCTTTCTTGTAATTGATATCCCCATATTCTCATTCATAAACCATTTCTTCATTCCACCGCTGTCCCCGCGCGAAATGTGCAACCTGCCTCTTGACGTTGACTTCCGGTCACTGAGCCAGAACCGACCTCTGTCTCCTCTTTTCGTTTCTCTGGTTCGTGGAAAAAAAAACTACGACACCCCCATGTCTGTTTCGCATGGCCGTCCGTCCTCCACCGTCAACTCTGTCCAGCATGAAACACCGCAACTCCTAATACCGTCTCCTAGTCGGTTCCGGGCTGGGCGAGCGCGTCGGGCTGCGGCTCCGCGGTCTCATCTTGAGCCACTTCTTGGTGCTGAGCTCGAGCTCCCTCTCCAGCTCCGGGCTGGGGTTCTTGCGGTGTATAAAGTTACAAAACCCTCCACGGACACAACCCTCGCCAGAGTTCAAACGGCAGCAGGCCTCGCGGAAATCCGTCACGGGGCTGAGTTCGCAATAAATCGGCCTAGCAGCGTACCAGCGAGAGTTCAGATCGTCGCACGCTTTTTGGGCTGAGTCCTCGTACTTGAAGCGCGCGTACACGTTGCCGATCAGGTGGTCGTTGTTGTTGTCGCACACCACCAGCTCCTCCAGCTCGCCGTACTTGCACATCTCGCACCAGATGTCCTCGTAGAAGGCGTCGAAGTGGTTCTGCAGCTGCGACGCGTTCATCCGGTTCTTGGGGTCGAAGGCGGGGTTGTGGTACAGGTTCGGCATCAGGATCGTTTGCGAGTAGCTGGGTTTGACGTGTTTGCGGGAGCACCGGTCGCCGTGGCGGCAGGCGCCGATCTTGTAATAGAACGAGCAGTTGACTTTGTCTTGCTCAGTGCCGAAGATGGAGGCGAGAAAGTTGGCCATTTTGTCGACTTGTTTTTATCTCGCTGCGATGGCGAGGCTGCGTATGGGGGATGTGATGGATTGTGTGCCGGGTAGGCTTAAGAGAACTCTGAATGCAATAGTCCGTTGTCAGAAGGAGGAAGATGGCGAAAAGTCGAGTCGGTCGTTCAGTCTGCTCGGTTTGATAATGTCGAGGGTATTCTTCCGTCGTTCGTGAGCAAGACCGTTGGGTTGCGTATGCGAAAAAAAGGTTTTCGAAAAATATCGTTGATCGAATCGCAGTTTTCGAGAAGTGCTGGATAGTCCCGGTCGCCTGGTTGCTACGACGTTGGTGAATTTGGGAATTGGCGTTGTCGCACATGAAATCAATCTGTCGTGGAAAACTGAACCCAGCCGCGTCGCCTCAGTCGCGTCTAGCTTTCGCCACATGGGTGTGGCTGGCTAAAGTTTTGACCAATGGTATTGCCTTTGGCTGCGAGGCTGACAAAGTGAATGGGGCTGGTCGTCGAACACGCACATGGCATCGTCCAGAAGTTGCTACGGGTAATGTGGCCGTAAAAGTCGCCATATTGCATATGTCATCCGCGAATTTCACTGTTTAAGCTCTACAGTATTCATGGACAACTATATCGCAAGTCTTTCAACATATACTTTGACGTCGTCAGATTGCTGCGCAATCCCGTCATGCAGTAATGCCTAGGTAAAATCCCCATACATACTCGGATGTCATCCTACGTTCCTGCCCAATCAGCGGTTGCCATCGAGAAACTCATCGGCGCCGGAATATCATAGCAGACCCGGCGAACGGCAAGCTCGAGACACGACATCGGTTGTTGACATCAGCGATGCTTCCGTGGGACGGCCAGGCCGGTCGTCAGTCAAGTCACAGCGAACCGAAAGCCAGTGAACCCCGACGAAAATATATGGAGCCCGGCACTCGATCCGTTATCGTCGGGTGCGGGTAGGAGATTGTGGGTATGACACAAGATCCGGACACGAAACATTGTAACAACGACACACCTGTGCATTCGGTCAAGAACATACGTAGGTGTTAAGTCTCAAGTCTCAGTGGGAAATGAATTGCTTTCCCGTTTCGACCAGACGAGTTGCTCAATGACAGTCAGTCAAAGGGAGTTGCCATCTCCGGTTATCCTCGAGGCCTGATTGTTGATCCAGGGAGCGCAAATTGTACTGTTGAAATCTGAAAACTAAAGAGACGTGGCTCGGTTGCGGGCAACCACTGGTGAGCGTTTGTCCAACCTCACACGTGGAGTGATTGCGTTTCTGTGCATCACGGCTGAACCTTCCTGCGTTTAACTTTGTTGAATATGTGAACGTGGCCTACCAGCCATGAGGTTGTCGTCCAATTACCTTTTTCTGTGACGGGGTCCCGGTTTTGTCATGTTGTAGTTGTTTGGACTTTGGCTACCGGACAGCCAACACCGATCTTGACGGTCCCAACGATGGCTGAATGGTCTTTGTGTGGCCAGACCCTTGGTTGCAGGCCAGTCTCAAAGTCTTGATATCAAGTCGGGTGATAGGCCCGGAGATGATTTGTCAATTGTCGCGTGAGGTTCGTTGTAGTGGTGGCCTTCGTTGGGTGAGATGATGTCGCTTTATCCTTGTTCACATGTTGGCAACCCAGAAAGGGGAATTCTTCGTCTATCTCTGGCACTTTCGAGACCCCTGCGTTGGGAGATTTGCGACAGGGATCTGTTTATTAGTGAACAGCCGATTTGTCGATGCGGTGGCCTCCTGAGGCGTAAAGGTCTTAGATGGCCGTGGATTATCGCACGCTGGAATGAAGAAATCAGAATTCAAACTTTGATGAAGTGCGAGCGTGATCTGCTTGAAGAAGCAAATCGAGAGACCGCATAGCCTTGGTTGTCGGCGGTTTCATGGTCGTGGACTTGAAATTAACTTTGATGTAGATGCGATGACCGAATCAAGTCGGCATCAGATTCGGGGCGTCAGGATTCGATAGTGGTGAGATGTAATACCTACGCATGATACTCTGTGGCCGGTAAGGGGTCTCGGAAACATGACATACGCATCTTGAGGACGATGCTACAGCAGCACACACTTTTTGTGGAAATCGACAAAGCATACTTGTCCGCATTATATCTCTGTTCTCTTCCTTTTGCCCGCCGAACTTTCATCTCTGACCTGTCAGCGCTTCGCTGTTCCCTGTGATCGCTTTGGCGATCCTGTTGACTCGGAGCAAGTCACGGCCTAAAGCATGCACATTTCAGCCGGCAAGTGCAAGCGCGGCGATAAGTGGACTGGGAACTGCGGGGCACGTAGGTACCTTCATCACTGACTGGAAGCTCTTGGGTTAGCACCGCCGTTAAGCTCCCATGTTTTGGCCATTAATGCCAAGACCTCAATGTTATAACACTTTACCTAGCTGGCACAACTGCCGGTAAAATACCTCGTGGATATTGGTGATTCTAGAGGAGAAATGAGAGTATATAATATGGGCTAATTGCCACTTGGGCTACCTCTAGGCTCTAGCTAGGTGCACGACAATGAAGCCACGCAAGCGAGACAAGCTGGGAGTCTTGGAGCGCATCTCCAAATTTTGAGCGTTGCACTCTTCCCCCCAGGCACAACCCGCCGTCCAGGCCGCTTCCAAGGATCACACCTTAAGCTCACACTTCGGTACCATTGCTTGTGGACCGCCATTCATTCGATGGGAGCGGAGCTCGACCTTCTGACGTACTGTGTCCCTACTAGCGTTCGATCCGTCGTTTCCCAACTGGCTGGGTGGCTGGCTACCACATCTCCATATCGATTCGAAGCAGTGTGAATCGCGAGGCAAAGCGTGAATGGAAGCTCTCCTTAGAAGGTGGTACTGTGCTTGCGAGCCAAAGTAAAACCCCTTCATCAAGTACCGAGCACGAACCGCCATAGGGTAGCTCGGCAAGCGAAGCCCCTTCGTGGCTTTGTATAGGGCACTGTGAGGTCAGCGATCGTCAGCGACCTGGCCCACGGGTTTTACTTGGCCATCTCACCACACGTAGGTAGGTACCTCTACTATGTAGACAGAGCGCCCGGGATGTCCACGGGTGCCCCTTGAGGTTTCTAGCTGGCAGGCATCTCCAGTTCCAGAACGCCAGGACCCGGCCAATAGGAGTGTTGGGAGGCTGCGTGGAGAGGCCGTGGAGAGCAACAATAGCAGCTTGCACCAGCACGAGCAGCAAGCTGAAAGAGGCTTGGACGCCTCCACACTTGAGCTGCGTGGGACCCTTTTTAGCCATTTCCCAGCTGGGGGGCTGCGCGGCTTCCATCCTCAAAAGCATTCCGTCTCGTCACTTCGTCCGCTAGTGTTTTATTTTTTTTTTATTGTTGTTTTTATTCCCTCTCTTTCGTCTCCGGTCTCTCGTCTCCGTTCTGTTCTTTTCCCAAACATCCAGTTACGTGAACGGAAGCACAGGTCCAACTTCTGTGTACCTTTGCTGTAACACCTTCCAAGGAGACCGGTTCGGTTTCCTTGTTTCCTCCCCCCCGCTCTCTCTTCTAACCAACACCTTTCTGCGATTTCTCCCGCTCTCTACACCCTATTATAGGTTCCATTATTTGAATATTACTTTGGCTGCCCTGCCACTGCACCTGCAGCCACTCGATTACTCTAGCGCCAATCGCCCTCGACCAGTGACGCCATCTGTTCTGAATAGCACGGTTCGTTGCGCCTTTCTGACCGGACCTCCAGCTTTATATCGACAACACCTCTTCGATAGCTCAGATATATTCACGACACAAACCGACTTTCGAGCGAATACGTTGACAGCGACGCTACAAGTCCGGCTGCTGACGTGGCTTCCTCGTCAGACACAATGGCAACGCAGCAAGCAGCAGAGGAGCTGAAGCAGCAGGGCGCAATTGAAGCTGCACAGGATCCCAACAGCAGTGTCACGGCCGAAAACGCCGAGAAGAAGATCGTTGATGAGAGCCAGCAGCTTGGCATCACTGCCTTCACCTTCGACCCTAACGCTAGCGCGGCGGAGAAGGCAGCACAAGCCAGAGAGGTACGTTCCCAGCCCTCAAGCAACATCACTGCTGCTCCGACCTGACACCGTTGCAGGCAATTCCAGATGGCCTTCGGCGACCGAAAGGATTAGCTATTGCTTCCGATCTCGATGATGGAACCAAGGCCGATATCGATCTCCCCCCACCCTCAAAGGCCGGCGCCCTAGATCTCCCAACCACTGCCGATGGAAATGTCATTGAGGATGGCCGTACCCCTGAACAAATCGAGGCCGATTTGATCAAGAAGGTCGGCTGGGCCCCAAGATTCGGCTGGCCCAAAGACCCCGAAGAAGAACAGGATCTGCTGGACCACGCAACATGGGTAGAATCTAACCTCTCCGAAAACTATTTTGGCGGTACGTACGAGCTTCAAGTGGTATCCTTTCAAAAATTCTGGCTTTCTAATGTGTAATCTCACAGAATGGTACCATAACGTGGCCGTCATTGTTTTTGCCTGTCTCTCATCTTGGCTAGTAGCAGTGTTGGGAGGCGGCCTTGCCTGGGTCTTCATAATCATGGCTTGCTGTTCGACTTATTATAGAACCTCGATTCGCCGGGTGCGCCGAAACTTCCGAGACGATATCACGCGGGAGCTAGGCCTCAAGAAACTGGAAACTGATAATGAATCCGTCGAATGGATTAACTCATTCCTCGTCAAGTTCTGGCCCATCTACCAGCCCGTCCTCGCTCAGACCGTGATCAACTCTGTCGACCAGGTTCTCAGCATGTCTACCCCTGCTTTCCTCGACAGCTTGAAGTTGAAGACCTTCACTTTGGGCTCCAAACCACCTCGTATGGAGCACGTCAAGACCTATCCTAAAGCTGAAGATGAGGTTGTCATTATGGATTGGATGTTCAGCTTCACCCCCAATGATACCGCCGACATGACTGCACGCCAACTTCAGAACAAGGTTAACCCCAAGGTTGTCCTGGAGATCCGAGTTGGAAAAGCCATGATTAGCAAGGGTCTCGATGTTATCGTTGAGGACATG